TGAGAGCAGCCATAACTGCTCCCTCCTCCGCCCTGTTGATCCCGTGGGACCCGCCCCGCCCAAGCCCTGCACAGAGGCATTTGCCGGATAGCCTCAGGCAAAGGCTAGATTAGCACCTCCCTAGAGGACACAAGTTCTTCCACTGCAGACACAGCTGATTATCACAGCCAGTCGGCCTGGAGGTCAAATCCCTCTAGTATTAACTACAACAATCAAGGCTTAACTACAACAAGACTGCGCACAAAGACCACTAGGGGGTGTACCAAGAAAGCGTAAAAAATGCGGAGACTAAGAAACAGGACAAAACTATCAAGGGAGGATATTGAGTTCAGAACCACACTTTTGAGGTCTCTCAAGAGGCTTCTAGAGTCTGTCGATAAACTTGATGAGATGTACAGGAAATCTAATGAGACCCTCGATGGTGTGATAAAGGACCATCTAGAAAGTAAGCATACACTGACTGAAATAAAGAATATTATACAGACTCCCAACAGCAGACCAGAGGAGGCGCAAGAATCAAGTCAAAGATTTGAAATGCGAAGAAGCGAGAAACATCCAACCGGAAAAGCAAAATGAAAAAAGAACCCAAAAATACGAAGATAGTGTAAGGAGCCTCTGGGACATCTTCAAGCGTACCGACATCAGAATTATAGGGGTACCAGAAGATGAGAGAGAGCAAGATATTGAAAACCTATTTGAAGAAATAATGACAGAAAACTTCCCCCCACCTGGTGAAAGAAATAGACTTACAGGTCCAGGAAGCGCAGAGAACCCCAAACAAAAGGAATCCAAAGAGGACCACACCAAGACACATCATAATTAAAATGCCAAGAGCAAAAGACAAAGAGAGAATCTTAAAAGCAGCAAGAGAAAGAAACTCAGTTACCTACAAGGGAATACCCATACGACTGTCAGCTGATTTCTCAACAGAAACTTTGCAGGCCAGAAGGCAATGGCAAGAAATATTCAAAGTGATGAATACCAAGAACCTACAACCAAGACTACTTTATCCAGCAAAGCTATCATTCAGAATTGAAGGTCAGATAAAGAGCTTCACAGATAAGGAAAAGCTAAAGGAGTTCATCACCACCAAACCAGTATTATATGAAATGCTGAAAGGTATCCTTTAAGAAGAGGAAGAAGAAGAAAAAGGTAAAGATACAAATTATGAACAACAAATATGCATCTATCAACAAGTGAATCTAAGAATCAAGTGAATAAATAACCTGATGTACAGAATGAACTGGTGATTATAATAGAATCAGGGACATAGAAAGGGAATGGACTGACTATTCTTGGGGGGAAAAGGGGTGTGGGAGATGCGAGAAGAGACTGGACAAAAATCATGCACCTATGGATGAGGACAGTGGGTGGGGAGTGAGGGCGGAGGGTGGGGTGGGAGCTGGAAGGAGGGGAGTTATGGGGGGGGAAAAAAGAGGAACAAATGTAATAATCTGAACAATAAAGATTTAATAAAAAACAAACAAACAAAAAAATTTGAAAACAACTTGCAGAAAGATTAAACGTTGCTCAGCAAACAATTTCTGATCATTTACAAGCAATGGGAAAGATTTTAAAGGAAGGAAAATGGGTGCCACATCAACTGAACTAAAGACAAATGGAAAACTGAAAAGTCATCAGTAAAATGTTGCTTCAACGGCACGAAAGAAAGTCTTTTTTGCATCGGATTGTGACTGGCGATGAAAAGTGGATTTATTTTGAGAATCCCAAACACACAAAATCATGGGTTGACCCAGGTCAACCATCAACATCGACTGCAAAGTTAAATTGCTTTGGAAAGAAGACAATGCTCTGCGTTGGGTGGGATCAAGAAGGTGTGGTGTATTATGAGCTTCTAAAACCAGGTGAAACCATTAATATTGAATGCTACTGACAACAAATAATCAATGTGAACCACGCTTTGATCATGAAATGACCAGAATATGCCAGAAGACACGGCAAAGTAATTTTGCTTCATGATGACGCACCATCACACACTCCAAAACCAGTTAAAGACACGTTAAAAGATCTTGCCTGGGAAGTATTAACCACCCACCGTATTCACCAGCCCTTGCTCCTTCAGATGACCACTTGTTCCGATCAATGGCACACGCACTTTCTGAGCAGCACTTCAAAATGTGCGAAGAAGTGGAAAATTGGGTCTCTGAATGGTTTGCCTCAAAACAAGAAAAGTTCTTTTGGGACAGTATCCACAAATTACCTGAAAGATGGGGGAAATGTATAGCTAGTGATGGACATTACTTTGATTAAATAAAGCACTTTCGATGTTTCTCTTGAAATTATCGTGTTTTCTTTGCTTACAAAATCCTCCATTATAAACCGGCACACCTAGTACACTAAAGTTGAATTTTTTGAAAAGTTCTCAAGTGAACATTCAGTCTGTCCACACTGATGCCCTGCGTCTGCTCTATTGCAGGTCCGTGTGCAGCTCGGGATAGAGGGATAGAGTGAGACTAAACCAGCAGCATCCAGCAGCATCGCGCCTGCCCTCTCCCCTCCAGAGCGCTTGCTCCTTCCTCCGTCGGCTCTGTCATGTGCTGCTCCTGTGGGCTCCGAGGGCCTTTTGCCATGTTTGCTTGTATGACCCACTCGCCCAGGAAATAAACAGGAAATCACGTTCACACCTTTTGTGAAAGTGTATCTGGTGGATTTCAGTTGGTGGTTTGGTTTGGCTTTGGTTTGGGGTTTTCGTTTGGAGGTGATTTTCTTTTTTTCTTTTTTTTTTTTTTACTTTTGCTTCTCTTTCTTTCTCTTTTTCATTTTTGAAAGAGAAGAGCAAACAGAGGACAGAGCCTAGGGGACCTAGAGCCCCCCAGCCTCCCCTCCCAGCGCCCTCCAGGGCTCCGCATCGCTCTGTGCAGGAGCAGCACTGAAGGGCACCACCTCTGGAATCTCAGTGGCCGGAGAAGGGAGAGCAAAAGCAGCAGCCCAGGCCTGGCACCTGGGGAGACGGTTCCTGCTGGATCCACCGCACACCAGGCCACGCTGGTATCAGAATGTCAGCGTGAGGCGGGGAGGGCCTGGCGCTGAGGGACGCGGGGTCCGTGTGAGCCTCTTCGGTGCGTGACTCAGTTCCCCTCTTATAACCTGGAAGGTTGGTGC